AAATGCAAGTTCTGTGAATACCAAAACAATAAACCATCTAATCTCAGGATGTTCTATAAAAATGAATTTAAATAAAAACACAATGGACAATTTGCAAACACTTTATGGAAAATGTGTAAGCAAACAACAACATAATAAAAAAATAGAAGATGACCATTCTTTGGGATTAACCATCCACACAGACAGAAAAAAAAAGCAAATATAATTTTGTCAAAAACCAGAAAAAAAACTTGCCTTAATTGATCTAAAAACATAGCAACACTAACTAAAAATACAAAGACCTGGAAATAATTAGAAAAAAATGTGGAAATTGAAAACAAGAATAATACCAGTGGTAATATATAATTTAAACAAAACAACACACTGAAAGATCCCTGAAACCCCAAATTTAGACATACAGAAAATTGTCTTATTAAGTAATTCAGCACACACACTTAAAAAGAACTTTGTCTATGTAACGCTAAAACTTCATCGGAGATAAAAAAAAAAAAAAAAAAAAAAAAAAACATGAAATAATAATAATAATAATAATGTGTCCATAGTAATAATAATAATAATAATAATAATAATAATAATAAAAATAATAATAATAATGAAAATACTTAACCTAAAAACAAAATGATAGACTGAAAATATTAGTAAAAAGGTTTGGTCTAACATTATCGAATGAAACAAGGTCAAGTCGTAGAAGGAATGGTAGGATTATTAATTGTAGTCTTTTGATCGCCATCCTTCTAAGAAACAATTTCTTTATAACAAAATGAAGATCGAAACATCAGATGAAAAGAACGAGAACTGTGCTATGATTTTTAAAACCCTTAATTTTGAAAAAAAAAATGCTTTTTCCCCATTCATTGTTTCTTTAAGCACTCGAAAATTATAAAAGGAATTAAAAGTTATATACAAAAAAAAAAAAAAAAAAAAAGAAAAGTATATCGTCGAGTCATCTTGGTAGACCGTGTCGTCCATACTGGGAAGAACTTGATTGACCAGAAGGATTTTAATTGCATGTACAACTTCCTTGTCCATCCCCTACGATAGAAACATCTTCTAATCAAAACGTGCCAGCCTATGTAATCAGAAAACGAGTTAGAAGAGAATAATAACACCTGGTCTAGCCTCGGGTCAGGGAAAGGGTTAATGAATGGATTCGTTTATTTATTTATTTGTGAGCGTGAGACTAAAGTGAATAGACATTGACAAGTACCCTGGAAGTATTGTGACATTTTGTTTTGTAGGGAAGGGCTCCGAGTGGGTGGAAGATCGAGAATGATCAAGAACTGGAAGAAGAGAACGAATTGCAAAAGACGGTTAAGAAATATGAATAAAGGCAAAAATAAAAGGGGGGACGAGTAAAGAATATCAGCTGGTTTTAGGAAATAGAAATGTCTTCTTGACTAAGAGAACTACTCTTTCAGCTCGAGTGTCTGTAATCGTTTCAAAAGTAAGGCGATAATGCCACTATGACACATAGAGGTTGAGAATTAATCACCACAGAGATCCTTCCCTTCCCTCCATTAGAATGTCTGACGCTCAACTTCTCGAGAGCACCTCTCTGCGGCTGCTCGGTATCACGTTGACGGCTGACCTGAGATGGAACAAATACATTGAGTCAATTGCTTCGTCCACCGCAAGGAAAGTTGGCCCCCTGTGCCGCGCCAGGAAATTTTTCTCCCCGGAACCGATCCTCCAGATCTACAAATCAACAATTCGCCCTTGCATGGAGTATTGCTGCCATATATGGTCTGGAGCCCCTTCTGTTTGCCTCGGGGTTCTTGATAGGCTCCAGAGGCGGATATGCAATATAATTGGCCCTGCTCTCGCATCTCGTCTACAGTCACTTTCTCACAGACGCGCTGTCGCCTCTCTCTGCCTGTTTTACAAATACTCTCATGGCATTTGCTCCGAGGAGCTGGATTGGCGGGTTCCCAGACTTCATGAGTTCAAGCGCCCTACGAGGCTGGCATCTCGCTCTCACCCCTTCACTGTCGAAACTTTTAAATGTAGCCGTCTCTTCTTCTCCAACAGCTTCATGTCACGCACCTCTCGCCTGTGGAATTCACTTCCCTATTCCAGTTTCCCTGAGAGCTATAATCTCCAACTATTCAAATGTAATGTTAATCGACATCTCCAGTTGCCTTGATCTATCCACTATCCTTCTCCTCATCCTTTCTTCTATCACTCCTATCTGATCTTGCTCCAAATCTTCTGTAACCCCTTGCGTCCTAGTGGCTTCCCGCCTTGCTTGGGGTGAAACGCTTAAAAAAAAAAAAAAAAAAAAAAAAAGAATGAGAAGTCATTACTGAAGAGAAAAGACAATAAAAGAACAGCATTCAGAAAAACAGAAGATGGCGACTGGCGATGCATTTAATTTTTTGAAGGTTATACGTGGCAAGAAAGCAAGAAAACAGAAGGGAATCCCAAAGTGCGATAAAATATTAGAATAGATTGATTGATTCCTTTTTTATGGTTTATCAATCCTTTGTAAGTCATTTAAAACGGGAAAATATTTTTAGATTGTAGGAATTTTTTGAGATAATGATTTAATGCTACAAGTCTTACTAATTAATCCATAGCTGGGGGAGAAGAAATGTATTCATAGCTTTCCCAAGGGTATTTTCGCGTAAGTGAATTTAACGAACCCAACTGGAATTGAAACTTGGCTCTCCGATTAAAATTCCGAGTCATCCATTACGCCACCCGCACACCCAAGCTTACAGCACCTGATAATCCCATATTAGACAAGAACATGGTTATATCTAGCTACTTACAGGGCAGAAGGTTAAAATCTAATTTCCAATCTAATAGTAAATGAATATTTACAATGAATACAAGAGGAGATTTCGGATTTGCCATGAACATATTTATAGAAAAGAAACAAAGAAGTCACATGGTGGACTTTAAAATTAATTATTATCTGTCTATATCTCTGAGATGAGGTATTATTATTACTTATATTATTCGGATTGTTATCCTCCATTGCCATATTCATAACGTTTCAGCCATTGTACGCTCCGGCCTTCTTCATGCGACTGGAATTTCGAATCGAACCCTATATTTCGTACACAGGGGAGATTGTTCTAGTTCCACGTGCCATGCCTCTTCTGGATCTCTTAGTTATTTCCCTTTAACTCAACTCTCCAAATTTTGGTTCACCACTGCCGTGGCCTGGTATTGAACTCACAACTCTTTGGATCTAATCACTGGATCTAACCAACGTCTTTATCCACTGGTCCATGTGTCCTTGAGGACAACG